TCCCATTCCTGGATTTATCCTAGAGAAATGAAAACATGTTCACAAAAAGATTTGTACATAAATGTTCCTTGAAACATCCTATCTAATAAAGAGGGAATATGCTAATTGACCTCATGCTGTCACAAAGATGGCAGCACCCACAGCCAATAAGGAGGGAATATGCTAATTGACTGTCCCACCCTCAAAGATGGCGGTGCCCACAGCCAATAAGGAGGGAATATGCTAATTGACTGCCATGCTCTCAAAGATGGCGGCTCCCAGTCCCCTCTGCACCGCTGAGGTGGCAGGCATGTGGCAAAGACGGGCCCGCCCCCAGGCGGGCTTGGCTGCTCCGCCTCTAGAGTCCCACAGTCCCCTCAACTCCCCAGCTGCCCAGGGCTGGTCCGAGGTGCAGGCAGGCCTCGGATGGTGGCGGCCCAGCCGCCCAGGGCCACCTGAGGATCAGGTAACCAGGGCTGCCTGAGGCTTGCGCTGCCGGCAGTGGCAGCAGCTGAGGTGTGATGGAGCGTCGCCTTTCCCTGATCACCTCCTACCCCTGAGGGCTCCCGGAGTGTGAGAGAGGGCAGGCTGAGCTGAGGGACCCCCCTTCCAAGTGCATGAACTTTCATGCACCGGGTCTCTAGTTATTCATAATAGACAAAACTAGATCCAACTCAAATGACAATGAACAGGTGAATGGACATACAAATTGTGTAGATTCATATTAATGAAATACTTCCTAAAAAGAATAAACTTCTGATATGGGTGACAGCATGGATAAATCTTACACACATTATTCTGAACAAGAAAGGACAGACATAAAAGAGAACTTACTGTTGACTCAATTTCTATGAAACTCTAGTAAAAATAAATTTACTATATGACAGAAAGCAGAAGAAGCATTGCCTGGGGTAGGGGTGGTTGACCTGATTGGGGAACAAGGGAACTTTCTAGGGTGGTAAAAATTTTCTGTACTCTGATTGTGGTGTGGTTGGTTACACAGGTATATAAATTTGTCAAACACATCAAGATGTACACTTTAAGCGAGTATTAATTTGTATGTAGATTATACAAGCCCGGCTGGTATGGCTCAATGGTTGAGTGTCGACCTATGAATCAAGAGGTCACTGTCTGATTCCTGGTCAGGGCACATGCCCAGGTTGCAGGCTCGATCCCCAGTAAGGGGTGTCCAGGAGGCAGCCAATCAATGATTCTCTATCATCACTGATGTTTCTCTCTCTCTCTCCCTCTCTGAAATCAATAAAAGTATCTTAAAAAATTATACCTCAATAGTTTATTTTTTTAAAATCAGGGATATGCAAATTAAAACCACAAGCACCACTATACACCCACCAGAATGGCTAAGATGTAAAAGGCAGACCATCCCATGTGTTGGTGAGGATGCAGAGCTACCAGAACATATTAATTATATGAATGATTTGAGTGTTAAGTGGTACAGCCATTTGAAATACTGTTTGGCAGCTCTGATCCCTGCCTCTTGATGTTCATGCCATTGTATAATTCTCTCCCCTTGAGAGTGAGCGGGACTTGTGATTTGCCTTTAACTAAAAAAATATGGCAAAGGGGATGAGAGGTCACCACTGTGGGGTTATGTTACATTATAGAAGGCATTGTCTTGTTAGCGGACTTGCTCTAGAGCAGTGGTTCTCAACCTTCCTAATGCTGCGACCTTTTAATACAGTTCCTCATGTTGTGGTGACCCCCAACCATAAAATTATTTTCGTTGCTACTTCATAACTGTAATTTTGCTACTGTTATGAATCGTAATGTAAATATCTGATATGCAGGATGTATTTTCATTGTTACAAATTGAACATAATTAAAGCATAGTGATTAATCACAAAAACAGTATGTAATTATATATGTGCTTTCCGATGGTCTTAGGCGACCCCTGTGAAAGGGTCGTTCGACCCCCAAAGGGGTCATGACCCACAGGTTGAGAACCGCTGCTCTAGAGACTCCTTGTTGGATTGATGACGTGGCCATTTTGGGAAAATCCACATAGCAAACAACTTTGGGCAGCCTGAAGAGGCTGAGGGCAGCTGCTAGGAGCTGAATGAAACCTCTGGGAACTGAGGTTGGCTTCCAGATGACTACCAGCAAAAAGCTGGGCCCTCCAGATAACCACAAGGAAATAGATTCTGCCAATAGTCTGAGTGAGCTTGGAAGTGGATTCTTCTCCAGTTGAGCCTCTATATGAGAACCAGCTTGGCCAACAACTTGGTTGCAGTTTTGTGAAATCCTAAGCAGAGCCTTACCCACTGAAATGGAAAGATAACAAATTTGTGTGTGTGTGTGTGGGGGGGGGGGGTCATTTGTTACGTAACAATAGATAACAAATACAGTATCCAATGTTCATTCCAGCCTTGTAGTGTGCCATCCTGTATTACAAAAGCTAAAAGGACATTTCCCAGATTCCTTTGCAACAAGGCCAATCAGATGCATACACATTGAGACTTGAATGACAGAAGGAAGGTGAAGGCTATGTTTCTGCCATTTCTTCTGGTACACATGGTTGTGAAGATGTTTGGTTGTTCTATTGCAATTTAGTTAACTATAACTAGATGGTGGGTTCTGAAAGGTTTGGCATCTATTTTGCTGGTGTAAATCAAAGTAGGTGGTGTGGTTCTGGAGTAGCAGCTGTAGTGTTGGCTTTTCATCATGACAGTAGGAAGTAGCAGTTTCCTAATCATAGAAGAGCTAGCAACTCCCTTGGTGGCCTGGTTCTCTGGTATAGCTTTGGAAGTTGTTCTTCAAAGCTCAATTTAGAGTCAGTTCTCTTGATAATTATGTAAGCCACTTAATGTCTGGTAATAAATCTTTGCCTGGCTAAACTAATAAGAGTGAATTCTGTTCTCTGCAACTGAACCTTAACTAATACAGGAAGGAAGTCCTCAAGTGAAAACTGAATTTAGTGTTAATAAAAATACATTGTAACAAATAACATAGCAATATCATTAAGTAAACCACTTTTCATGTTTATTAGAATAGATTGATAACATTTATTTTATAAGACAAGAAAAGCCACTTTATAACATATTTAATGTAATGTATAAGGTATAATGCTCTGGTTCAGTTTGACATAGCTACATAAGATTTTTATTATTAAGAACAACCCATTTGTTCAGCAAGGTAGCAACTATAAAACTATGTATTTTGCTTATTTCTCCTACAGACTGAGAAAATGTTTGTCTTTTTAACTTGCATGTATAGTCTTGTTGCAACTGAAAAATTTGTTTACGTATTCAATGTTAATTAATATAGGCTATAATCTTCAATATTCTGACTTTAAAATATCAAATATTAATAGCATTTACTCTTAAGAAAGTATCTTTTTTTGTAAATACAATTGACAAAATATTTAACAAAATATGTGCAATAGTGCCTTTGTATATAAGCATAGAATAGAGCCTGTGTCTTTTTATAGCTACTAAAGTTTAATGTATCAATCATTACATAATAGCAAATGTGTGATAGTTTACATATAAACTATTAACTAAATTCTAAAATGTGGAGATGTTTTAGCAAATCATTTCTGAGAAAAGGCATAGATACTATTTACCAACTATCTCTTTAAATGGTAATTTCCTTGAAAAGACAAGGTTGACCAAATCATTTTAAAGACACTGCTATCAAGTATTAAGTGTTTGGTTAAGTCCAATTTATGAAATTTTCAAAGGGTTCACTTAAAAATTCTTGAGTCTTTCTGAAAATAATATATTCTATGGTGACAAAGCCATCTGTGTTACACCTTATTCACAATGGGTCCTAGTCAAAGGCTGACTATACCAATTTTTTCACAAAAGGAGACCTCTTGGGTCACCCGAGTCTAAAGGATGTCTATTCTTTCACTGTTTCAGATCTAAAAGTCAAAGGGCTTGAAACCAAAGTCTTTTTTGAAGAAAGAAACTCAGTGGATGATTTCTCCCCACAATTCTTAAGTCAAATGATTAATACATTGCTCCTATCAGAAGTGTAGTTTGCTTATTTTTTCTTTAAAGTGCTAATGAAGCCCATTATTTTTACATGGACCTTCACTGTAATGACTGATACATAAGCAGCATAAAGTATATAGAAATTTACATCTAAATCATATAGTAAAAAATTTTTAGGTAAATACCAGCAATTCTATACATTATCTTCACAGCCATACACACTAGTATACTTTATGAACTTGCCAGACTAATACAGTCTATCTAATATAACTTAAAACGTGACTGGTAAAAATCCAAAACCTAAAGCTAGAATCAAAGCAGTCACAAGCTATTCTGAGACAAATGCCACAAACAGCAGTGCTCAGAAGAATTTCAAGTAATTTCTCAGTTTAATGAGAAACAGTTAAAATTGAACTTTTTCTTAACCCTTCTGAAAAAGCTGGCTTCATCCACTTAGATCCACATCCAATATTGTTTTTCTTTATATTAACCCAGAGTTTGAGTTCTTGATATATTTTTATCAATAACACAGAAGTATGAGTTAGCAGCTTCTGAACTGCTCAGGTAGGAAGAATTTGGAAGTTACTAAAAATATTTATTAGAAGACAAGATTAGATTAACTTTAAAAAGTTAACATCATTTCAGTTAGATAACTTGAAAATGAGCCCCCATACGGTAATCTTATAATTAAGGCTATACATCTAAGAGCCTGGTTTTCTAAAGCATTGTAATAGGACTGTGCCAATTTGGAAAGTAGCATTCATCAGTATAACATATCATCATCATTAATACTCAAACATTAACACCACATTTTCAAAATTATCAGTTATTCATATGGAAATAGCAGCACAAACTAGTAATTTCTTTACCAAAAGTCTTACTTTGGTGCCCTCTGGTGGTATCATTTAACACACTCCCCTGATACTGCATATTTTGTAAAGGTGAAGGTATTAAGAAGTACAAATTGGTAGTTACAAAGTAGTCACAGGATGTAAAGTACAGTATAGGAAATACAGTCGATGATATAATAACTATATATGGTACTAGGAAGGTACTGGAAATATCAGGGGGATCACTGTGTAAAGTATATGATTGTCTAACCACTATGCTATACACCTAAAACTAATACAAAATAATATTGAATGTAAACTTTAATTGAAAAACAATATTTTTTAAAATTACATTTTTATTGGAGAATATAAAAATCAGAGACTACCACAAAGGAATGATTCATTGTGTTTCCAAATATCTTTTTCAAACATTTTGGTAACATAATAAATCCCTGATCTTTACTCCCAGGAATCAAGCTGACAACTACAGGAATCTTAGTAAATTTGTCTGCTAGGCAATTCCTGTTAAGAGATTTACATCTTGTTTCTAGAACTTAACTGAGAGGTTTTTGCGTGCTCTAGTTTGGCTTTTACATCTATGGGTTTCTCAAAAAACCTCACCACTGCTGGTTCATTCAACAAAGAAGCAAGAATCTGTTCAAATGCAAATGACCACTGAGGTTCTTCCCTGAGCAAGGAGGAATCTTTCTCCAAAGGGCTCTCTGTTTTCCCCTCACTGGGTCCTCCAGAAGCACAAACTATACCAGAGAATCCTTTGGCTGATGATGTAGGGCTATGAAGTGTCCTTCCAACTTCTTCCATTTTGAGCAAAAGGCTGGTTACAACAGCAATGGCTTGATATAACAACTCTTCTTCAGGGTCCCCATGAAATAAGTTATAAAGGGTCTTTGAAAACTGAATAAATTGTGACTAGAAAACACAAGTTAGAAATACCGCATTTGATATTAGATTTAGCAAATATAAAGAGAACATATAAGTAAATAGTCACCTATTTCGAATTTGTATCATAAAACATTCACCAAAGAAGTAAAAGAACTGATCATTAATCCACAAATAAATCTTGGTTCTAGAAAGATGGATAGCAACAATAGAAAAAGTCCATTTAAATCATCTCATTTGTTGCCCAATAGCAATATATTACTTTTAATTAGGCAAAGTCTTATATTTCCCTACATGTAAATAATTCATTCATTAATAAATCTAAATAAAAGGATTAAGATGAGGTGCCCTTGATATACCCAAATGGCTAGAGTGAGCAGCTCAACTAGGATGACTTAAATTTAGGGAAAAATATTTTGGGACCTATCTAGTAGTACAAGGTAACTCTAAGGAGCCCATTTGGACATGTTTCTCTTTAAAGGATGAGGTGGGACTCAAGTGGAGAAATCAACTGGTTTGTTTGATTAATTGTCCCTAGATAATCATAGATATTCCTAAAAGAGATGTCAATTAAAAAAAAAAAGATTCCAACACAAGAGTCCTATAAGTCAATCCTACCAGAAAAGTTTATCTGTAAATAAAGAGCAAATACAAAGGATGTACTTCATAAAAATATATTGTTCCCCCCAGTATGCCTCGGTTGGACATCATTTCATCCCATGCACAAAAAGGTTACTGGTTCGATTCCTTGGTAGGGGATGTGCAGGAGGCAGCCAACTGATGTTTTGTTCTCAGCTCTCATGTCGATGCTTCTCTCCCTTCCCCTCTCTCTCTAAAAATCAATAAAAATATTTACCCCCCAAAATTATATATATATACATATATATATATACATATATATGTATATATATATATATATATTCCAAACTTTTAAGTTCACTTCTCTTTTTTCCTAACACTATAGTACTGTTTCTAAGAATTTTAGAATGAATACATCCCATTGATGCATTTTTTAAAAGTACTTGTTCAACTATCAAATTACCAAGTCCATTGAGAAATACTAAGCTATTTGATGGTTCTCATTTTAGTAAAGTTCTGGGAATATTAAGGATCTATATTAACAGATTTTAATTAAAAATATAATAACATATAGCATATACTGACTAAATACTTTGTAAGAAAAGGATGGATTTAGAATTGTGTCAATACTAGTCATTGAGCAGGTTCAAATACAAGATCATTAGGAACCAGGGTGCGACTTATCTTAGTAATTTCTTATTTATAGTACCTAGCACTGGGTTTGTCATCTATAAGCACTAAAAATGTGTACCAAATAGATAAAAATTTCTAATAAAGATGGAAATAGAAAACACCGAAATATGTTATACATATCCATCTTTTCTATAGGTACAAATGTCATAGCATAGAAACTACACTGAAACACTAGATAAGCCTAACCAATGGACACAGACAACAGGGGGGTGAGGGCGTGAGTGGGGGGGGATAGGGAGGTAATGGGGGGATAAGGACACATATGTAATACCTTAATCAATAAAGAAATTAAAAAAATAATTTGATCCCATTCTTCAGTTCTCATTTGAAGCAGAGTTAATACACAGATGATTTAAATATTTTTGTAATAGCATATTAGCTACTTTAGAGTTGGACATACCCACATTCATTAAAATATCATAAAAAACCTAGAATTTTTTCTTTGAAAGCACTATACCTGTTTCATTCTTGGTAAATCCTTAATGTTTTCTTCTTTTTTGAAAAGTTCATCTTGCCATTGACTAAGATATGCTTGAATATCAACTTTTCCTTTGCCTGAATGAGGAGAACAAAACCATTTTCATAATAAACAGCTTACTTCATTTTCTCAAATCTCAAAAAATAATTATCAAAAGATATTTCACTGAGTTATAAGAGTCTACCTTTTTCTTATCCAGGAAATTACCTGAATTAAACTTTAATTTCACCTAGCTGTTCTCAGGACACTTCTCCATTTCCATTAAACTAAAACTTTTACTTTGGGAAAGTTGGGGACTAGGGAATATTTGAAGCAAAATTGAGAAGGATGCATTTTAGATTATACAGTACATGCTGGCTTGATGATGTAAATGTCATGTAGATATTTTCATGTATACTATGAAGTTTAAAATACCTTCTATATGATGTTCTTAATATGCAAATATTAATTGGTCTATGGTGGCTCTTTTTCTTTTCAAAACAACTTATTCACTCATTCAGTTGAAGAGTTTAATTAAGATATTAATCTGACTTTATTAATTATAAAAATATTAAATGTGCTTATTACTTGAGACCTAGTATTATCATACCAATATGAACTTGTCCTATCCTAAAGAAACATGTGAAAAGTATGTTAAAATGTAAGAATAAAATGTCTATTACAGCAGAATTTACAACCTAAATATCCATCAATATTGGACTAGTTATTAAAATAAATTATGGTACGAAGATGCAAGACAGAGGTGGAGTAGGTGGAAGTTACACTCACTTCCTCCCAAGTCCAAACTGGAATTACAAGTCAATCATAGAAAAATCATCCTGAATAACCAACAGAACACTAGCTGAATGTAAGTCTTATAACCAAGGAATTAAGGAAGAAACCACATCGAGATTGGTAGGAAGGACAAGGATGTGAAAAGGGCTGGCCCTGCACCCATGGGTGGTGGCTGAAAATCCAGAGGATATCTCAGCTGCAAAGGTTCCCCCTGAGGAGTGTGGGGTCTCAATCCCATGTGGGGCTCCTCAGTCCAGAGCACCAGAGCCTAGAAGAGGAAGTCACATAATATCAGGCTGTGAAAATCAGCAGGAATTCTGTCCACCCGGGAGAGACTAGAGTCCACTAGACACAGGCACCCTCTTAAAGGGCCAGTGCACAAAATCTTGTTTATAGCCACTAACCCTGGGCTCCATTGTAGGGAGGGCGGAGCAGACTACATTGTGTGAGATTAAACTGGGGTCTGTGGCTCTGGAGAGAGCTGAAGGGAGTGCCATCAGGATCGCTGTGCTGAATCATTCTCTCACACCACAGATGCCATCTTTCTTGGGTGGAGCACTCCATTTTTTATGGCATCAGCCTGAGGGAACTCCCTATTGCCCCATGGAAGAGTCAGCTGCCTAGGCCCGAGATATTGAGGTCCAGGCAGACTTATGGTGTGCCAGGGTGTGAGTTGTTTGTCTCTGGAGCAGAGGCCATTCACTTTCCAGAGCCTAATTGGCACCACCCTTCCCCCATGGACCATCCACTAGCCTCACTCCCCCTATCCCCAGTGGCCCTGCCCTGCCAAGCTTGGGCTCTTTAAAAGGTCAAAGCAGAATCAAAGACTGAGTTGTGTGGCTCTAGGAAGGGGATCATTTTTCCCTTGCATACCTGACCATTGCACAACCTTCCCTTCACAGGGTCAAATCTTGGTCTGTTTGGGCCTGATAAACTCTGGCTGGCCTCCGCTTGATGACTCCCTGAGACCCTGCTCCACCACAAATGTTTTCAGGCTGCTGTTAGGAGGCAGCTGGCCTTGGTGTACCCTGAGATATTTGCTGAGTGGCCTCAGACCCAGCACTGGCACTAAGTTTGAATCTGTATAAACCTGGTAAACACCACTTGTCCCTCCTACCTGGTGACTCACTGAGAACATGCCTCATGCAACTAGCATTGTAGTATGCCACCAAAGGCTTTTTTAGTGACTGAGCTTAACAGGAAGCTGGCAAGCAAAGGTAGAAATTGGGGTGCTTTGGACCTTTTGTTGATCTGTCCATGACCTTTGTGTTGGTGGAAGCCAGGTTTGGTGTACAGTTTGGCCCCTCCCATGTGCACTCAGGCCCAGCAGAGGCAGCCAAAAACTGTGGATCGCTCTGTAGTTCCAAACAGGTAGCCCAGGGCTGGGCACAGGCAGTGCCTGACATTGACCTGCACCAGATTCCCTCAGGAGAAGTCCCAGAACCAAAACATCCTGTGGCAGTATTAAGACTATATCAGAGCACAATTCAACTACCTCCAAAATTGGCACACCCAAAGGGAGATCTTGGCAGGCACCAGACTCTGCTGGGTCGAATTCCACTTCATGGGGTCATACAACAGCAGATCATATACTCTGGTTGGAGTTGATCTTCATAGTCAGCCAGCCCAAAGGCCAACCTGACCCACAGGTGGACCGAGAGAAATCAAGACTCAACTACAACAGGAGGCTTAACATAAACCACACAAGGGACATTCCCGGAGCACCTAGCTTAAGTGATTAGGGAGACAGCTCCACTAAGCCCCTCAAGATACCTATTACATAAGGACACCATACCAAGACTGGGAGACATAGAAGATCTACCTAATACACAGAAACAATTACAGAGAGACAGCAAAAATAAGGAGACAAAGAAATAAGCCACATATGAAAGAACAAGAGAAATACACAGAAAAATCCTATCTAATAAAAGAGAAACATGGTAATTGGCGTACGACCGCTACCCTTCCCATTGGCTAATCAGGGGCGATATGCAAATTAACTGCCAGCCAAGATGGCGGCCGGCAGCCAGGCAGCTTAAACTGAACATGAGGCTTGCTTGCTTCAGTGACGGAGGACTCCAACATTCCCCGCCTGCCTTGCCGGCCTCTGAGCCTGCAGTTTAAGAAACATAGTAACAAATATAGAAGCTAAACACAACCCCAGAAACCAGCTTTCAGCGAGCTGGGATCTCAGAGCTGGAGTTGATACAGAGTTTTGATTATAGAACCGAAACAAACCAGATACCTGCATTCAGGAATGGAGGCCTAAGAGCTGGAGCCAGGCGAAAGCTGGCCCAGAATAAAAAAAGAAAAAAAGGAGCAGTTGGGAGCTTCAGTCCCAGCCTGAAAACAGCTCTCAGCCCCTCACCCAAACTGGCCAGGCACCCCAGTGGGGACCCCCACCCTGAAGGGTGTGTGGCCAGCTGCAAACAGCCATCATCCCCTCATCCAGGCTGGCCAGGCACCCCAGTGGGGACCCCCACCCTGATCCAGGACACCCTTCAGGGCAAACCAGCTGGCCCCCACCCGTGCACCAGGTTTCTAGTCTATATAGTAAAAGCTAATATGCCTCCCAGCACCGGGATCAGCGGAGCCGCGAGGCCTCCCAGCACCAGGATCAGCGTGGCAGGGGGCAGTGCCCAAACCCCCTGATCGCCCTGCAGCTCTGTGTGTGACAGGGGGCGGGGCCACAACCTCCCTATCTGCCCTGCTCTGTTCCTGACAGGGGAAGGCGCCCCAACCCCCTGATCGGCCCTGCTCTGTGCCTGATAGGGGGGAGATCCCCAACCCCCTGATCGCCCTATGGCTGTGTGACAGGGTGTGGCACCCCAACCCCCTCCCCCCACGGGCCCTGCTCTGTGTGTGACAGGGTAGAGCCATAACCTCCCCATCGGCCCTGCCCTGAGTGTGAGAGTGGCGGCGCCCCAACCCCCTGATCGGCCCTGCTCTGTGGGTGATAGAGGGTGGCGCCCCAACCCCCCCCCGCCCCCACGAGCCCTGCTCTGTGTGTGACAGGGTAGAGCCATAACCTCCCCATCGGCCCTGCCCTGAGTGTGACAGTGGCGGCGCCCCAACCCCCTGATCAGCCCTGCTCTGTGTGTGACAGGGGGTGGTGCCCCAACTCTCCTATCGGCCCTACTCTGTGAGTGACAGGGGGGAGCTCCTCAACCCCCTGATGGGCCCTGCTCTGTGCGTGACAGGGTACAGAGCCCCAACCCCCCTGATGGGCCCTGCTCTGTGCGTGACAGGGGGCGGTGCCCCAACTTCCCTATGGGCCCTACTCTGTGAGTGACAGGGGGGAGCTCCCCAACCCCCTGATGGGCCCTGCTCTGTGCGTGACAGGGGGGAGCTCCCCAACCTCCTGATCGGCCCTGCTTTGTGTGTGACAGGGGGTGGCACCGCAACCTCCCCATCGACCCTGCCTTGAGTGTGACAGGGGGCGGTGCCCCAACCCCCAAATCAGCCCTACCCTGAGCGTGACTGAGGGTGGCATCGTAACCTCCTGATCCGCCCTGCTCTGCGCATGACAGGGGGCGGCGCCCCAATTCCCCAATCGGCCCTGCTCTGAGCCCGACCAGGGCTGCGCCTAGGGATTAGGCCTGCCCTCTGCCACCCGGGAGCAGGCCTAAGCCAGCAGGTCGTTATCTCCCGAGGGGTCCCAGACTGCGAGAGGGCACAGGCCGGGCTGAGGGGCCCCCCTCCCCCCCTAGTGCACAAATTTTTGTGCACCGGGCCTCTAGTAACTAAATAAAATGGAGGCAACCAATATACCAGATAAAGAATTAAACAAATGGTTATGAAGATGACCAATGAACTTATGCAAAAATGGATGAAGTGGGGGAGAACGAAAAGAGACAGTAAACATAAAAAAGGACATAATTACCATTAAAAACAGTCAGAAATGAAGAATACAATATTTCAAATAAAGAATACATGAGAAGGAATCAACAGCAGGCTAGATGAAGTAGAGGACTGATTCAGCGATTTGGGAAGACAAGGTAGCATTAAACACCTAACCAGAGCACTGAAAAAAAAAGAAAAGGAATTAAAAAATATTAGGATAGTTTAAGAAACCTCTGGGATAACACAAAGCATAACAACATTTGCATCATAGAGGTATCAAAAGGAGAAAAGAGAGAGCAAGGAATGTAGAACCTATTTGAAGAAATAATGACAGAAAACTTCCCTAACCTGGTGAAGAAAAAAGACATACAAGTGCAGGAAGCCCAGAAAGTCCCAAATAAGATGAATACAAAGAGGGCCACACCAAGACATATAATTAAGATGGCAAAAGTTAAAGACAAAGAATCCTAAAAGCATCAAGAGAAAATCAGTTAGTTACCTACAAGGTTGCTCCCGTAAGTCTGTCCACTGATTTCTCAAGAGAAACATTTTATGCCAGAAGGGACTGGCACAAAACATTCAAAGTGATGAAAAACAAGGACCTACGACCAAGACTATTCTGTCCAGCAAAGCTGTTATAAAAGTATGAATAATAATTGGCAACAAATACATATCAACAATTACTTTAAATGCAAATGGATTAAAAATGCTTTAATCTAAAAACATGTGGATGGCTGAATAAATAACAAAATGACCCTTACATATGCTGTCCATAAGAGACTCACTTCAGATGTAAAGATACACACGAATGTAAAGGGATGGAAAAAAGCACTTCATGAAAATGTAAAAACAAAACAAAACAAAAAAAAGCTGGGGTAGGAATACTTATACCAGGCAAAATGGACATTAAAACAAAGGCCGTAACAAGACACAAGGAAAGACCAAGCAAGCAATTCCACTTTTGGGTATTTATATAAAAAAAAAACACAAATCACTAAATTGAAAAGACATACTCATCCCTATGTGTACTGCAGCATTATTTACAATAGCTAAGATAGGAAAGCAATTTAATTATCCATCAACAGATGAATGGATAACAAAGAAGCAGTACATATATACAAGGGAATATGACTCAGCCATAAAGAAGAATGAAATCGTGTCCTCTGCAACATGGATAGGCCTAGGGGGTATTGTGCTGAATGAAATAAGTCAGAGAAAGATAAATACCATATGATTTTACTTATATGTTGAATCTAAAGAGCAAAATAAATAAAATAGAAACAGACACAGAGAAAACACTGATGATTGCTAGAGGATTGGGGGACTGGGTGAAAAAGGTGAAGGGATTAAGAAATACAAATTGGGCCTGTTTGGCTCAGTGGATAGAGCGTCGGCCTATGGACTGAAAGGTCCCGGTTCGATTCCGGTCAAGGGCATGTACCTTGGTTGCGGGCATATCCCCAGTAGATGTGCAGGAGGCAGCTGATTGATGTTTCTCTCTCATCGATGTTTCTAACTCTATCTCTCTCCCTTCCTCTTTGTAAAAAATCAATAAAATATATTTTAAAAAAAGAAATACAAATTGGTAGTTACAGAATAGTCATGGGAATGTCAAGTACAGCATAGGATATATAGTCAATAATATTGTAAAAAATATGTATGGCATAAGATGGGTACTATATTTAAGGGGGTGATCACTTCATAAGTTATATAAATATGTAACCACTGGGTTGTATGCCTGACACTAACATAATATTGTACATCAACTATAATTGAAAAATAAAAATAAAAAACATTAAGTTAAATTAAAATGTCACATAAAAAAAAGTGTGGAATCTGCCTTTCCCCTTTGCTTAAAAACCTCCAATAACTAAAATTATATTCTTAGATCATAGTACCTTTTTCAGGGCTGATTTTTACTGATTCTGCTTCCTTCCCACTTGCATGCTTGGAAACTAAAAGAAAAGAGGACAATTTCAATGTGTAAACTATTTAGCAAATAGCTTTTGTAAAATAATATTTTATATTAAGACTCTTAAACACATTATTTTCTTCAATTCAGCAAACCAATTTTAGCCTGGCCTCCTATCATTAGAAGACAAAGTATTCAAGCCCAGCTGGAATGGCTCAGTTGGTTGAATATTGTCCCATGCACCAAAAGGTTATAGGTTTGATTCCTGGTCAGGGCATATACCTGGGTTGTGAGTTTGATCCCCAGTTGGGGAGCATATAGAATGCAACTGATCAATATTTTTTTCTCTTTCTCTCTCTCTCCTCCTCTCTCTAAGCATGTCCTCAGGAGAGGATTTTAAAAAAAAGAAAAGAGAAAGTATTCAAAAAACTTTTACAGTAAAAAGAACACTAGGGGGCGATCCATACGAAAAAATACCTAGGAGGAAGCATAAAAAATATTAAGTATTTATTTCTGGTTGGTATTTTCTTCTTTTTTACTTTACTCAAATTAAATATTTCTTTTATTATGAAATAAAACATACTGGAAGTAAGAAGACTGAGCTATTAGTCCTGATTGTGGCAATGACTCATTGTGAAATCTTGCAGAAGTCAGCACTTCTTTCTGGACCTCAGCACCCTTATCTATGTAATTAAGGGACTGACTAGATGATTTATTAGGTCTCTTCAAATTTTATGTTCAAATACTAACATGCAGTAAACATACATTAATCAGACATATTCCTCTATAAGACATTCGTATTTATGAAAAACAAGCAAAGGACACAAAATAAGCTCACAAACCTTCCAAATTATGTCTTGGACACAGACTCATCCCTGTCTCCTAAACCTACAATGATCTATATAATAAAAGCCCAGCGACCATTATGGTGGAACAACCAGAACGACTGGTCATTATGACACGCACTGACCACCAGAGGGCAGACGCTCAACACAGGAGCTGCCCCCTGGTGGTCAATGCGCTCCCACAGCAGGAGTGCTGCTCAGCCAGAAGCCGTGTTCACGGCTGGTGAGCGCAGTGGCAGTGGTGGGAGCCTCTCCTGCCTCCGCCCAGCAGCGCTAAGGAGGAGCAAGCCAAGCAGCAAGCCAAGCAGTAAGGAGCAAGCAGGTGGGCGGTAAGGAGCGACGAGCCAAGTAGTATGTAGCGAGCAGGCGGGTGGTTAGGAGCAAGGAGTCCCGGATTGCAAGAGGGCGCAGGCTGGGCTGAGGAATCTCCCCCACCCCTGCATTAATTTTGTGCATCAGGCCTCTAGTTTATAATAAGTATTTACTGTTTGAAGAATAGCTATGACCTTCAAAATCAAAGATTCTATTGCCTTCATTGTATTTTTAAATAGGCATGAAAATGATCTGATATATTTTAGAAATTTCTGCAACATAAGTGGTAACAAACTGCATTTTCTTTCTAATTCTCCAGTAAATAAGAAATTCCATGCATCAAAACCAAAATGCAGTTTAGTCAGTCAAATATTTATGGAGTACTTAACATGCATTTAACATTGTGCTAAGTACTGAAGTAGCACAAAAGAATCATAAGGTATAATTACCCAAATTTTACTAGTGGTAGTTGGGTAAAGAATATTCAAGCCAGGAAGATCTCTATTGAGTGAGTAATTATCAAACAGATACATTTTTGAACAGATATTTACCATGGAGCTGACTGAAATAAAGTAATTCTTCCTCGGAAAGTTCATCTCCCTTTGAAGGGTCCATTAATTTCACTTCAGTATAAGCTGAAAATAGATTACCCAAATCAAATTTACTAACAATAAAGAACAGAAACAGGTCCTTTAACTTAAATCTGGGGGCAGAGATTTAAGTAAAGGGTTTCTGTAAAAGACATACGAAGAAATGTGGAAGTCGTACTACTCTATTGTGTAGCAAGTAACAGGAAATACTTGATCACTTTGAGTTCTATTATTCCTCCTACTTACTTTTTTATAGTTTTCTGAGAGCCATTACAAGTTGAAATAAGATAATCTAGCATTTGGAAATCTCTGAAAATGTGACCTCAACTATTTAAAAACATCTTCAAAAATAAGGAAAACATGAAGTTCAGTACTCTAACAGATATTTAATGTTCTTTCTATTTTTGATCCTCCTACTAAAAGCATATTTATTACATGATAATATTAGAAATTTTAATGGCAACTTGACTTAGTAATGAAAGTTCTTCAAAATTAAACTATTTGGTGTTTTGTCTTTTGTTTTTAATGCTGTGCTTGTGATCTGAGTGTGTAAAGAGTTAAAGATGGCTTTTAGATTCTTGGTTTGGTAAAAGCATGGTCTCTGGCTATCCTGGGAAGACTAAAAGAGATCCCAAGTGTAGCTTTAGACAGTGCTATTTGTTTTTGTGAACAACTATCTTTAGTTGAAAGCCTAAGACTGTTTTCCAAAATATGGATCAGGCCTGGAAAAGTCAGCCTCTTAAGGTTAGTAGGAAACACTTAAGTAAACTGGAATGTGTGGTCACATGGAGGCAGTATGGTGGAATAGACAGAAACATGAGCTCTGGAGTCAGACCTCCATTTGAATCTCAGCCGTGTGATCTTTGGCAAGTAATTTAATATTTCTGACCCTTAGTCTCCTTATTGTCAAAATTGAAAGTATAATACCACTTTTCAGGAATATTGTGAGAATCAAATATAAGAATGCATGTAAAATAAATGCCTTGACAGAGCAAGTGTTTACTCAATAAATGGTAGCTTTAATTTATTTCCTTTTCCAAATGTTCACTATCACTGCCCTGGTCTCATTTTTCTGAATAATTTGTACTATTTTACAAGTTTGGCAGTTTGTTTAAAGTTAAATTCTACTCTCTAATGACAACAACAATAAAAATTCAACTTTACACCAATATTCAAATGATAGGTAGTTCTTATAGACAAACTATCACTAAATTGATAGGCCACAAACAGGAGGGAAATTGTGAACCTATAAGTTATACAGATTCTCTTCCATAGATTTCACTGTATTTACATATCAGCAAAGTACTGGTAGTATGATCCATGGGCCACAATAAAGGAATAACCTTATATACTGAATACTGTTATTTGTTAAAATGGAATTATATTTGTAATTATACTTGTTAAAAGGGAGTCAACTCCTAAACATCATTAAAGACTGTTAAACTCTTACCTGGAGGAATATGCAGCTTAAAAAGTAGTTTAAGCTTCTCAGTAAAACTTCCATTGTACATTATGTCTGTTCAATAAAATTTAATTGCAAATAGTCACATATCCAAAGGACATTTAATCAATTCCACCAATAAGATAAATTAAGATACAGATATTAGTCAAGAATTAAAATTCAGAAACCTTCTATTGCTTAAGCTAACAGTTAAATAAACACCCAGTCAGCTAGATCCTTTCCTTCTGGTGTGTAAGCAAAATCCACTTTATCAAGTGACAAAATGCTCTTCTGCTGATCTCCCTTCCCCCAAATTCCTCATTTGAGGAGAGAATTCTTCAAGGGATAATCCCTGACAAGAAAGCATGCTGGAGTGCTGTAAAAGAAAGGAATGATAAAACTTGTGGCCTATCTCCAGGTACATGTTTGTTGGATGTTTCTCTACTACTTTCCTTAGCTATGTGGTTGGATTTTTACTGAGGGAGAAAGTCCTCCTGAAGTACCCACGTGCTTGAGTGTAGGAAAATCAGGACATTCTCTTCATGTTAACTGTTAAAACATCCATATCTAACAATTTGCTTTTTTGGAAGGGTAGGGGCAAAATAAGACCGATATACTCAGACTTAGCAACAAACACAGAAAAAAGTCCAGTCATTGCTAAAGCTGGAGACAATGTAACTCCGGCTGATAAAAATCTGACTAAAGCCCAGCTAGCGTGGCTTAGTGGTTGAACATCGACCTATGAACCAGGAGGTCATGGTTTGATTCTTGGTCAGGGCACATGCCCAGGTTGCAGGCCTGATCCCCAGTGTGGGGCATGCAGAAGGCAGCCAATTAATGATTCTCATCATCGATGTTTCTCTCTCTCCCTCTCCTTTCTTCTCTGAAATCAGTAAAAACGTATGTTTTAAAAATCTGACTAAATTGGCAGTAATAGGTAGTACAAATATTTTTGGGGTCCTTTTACTTTTTGCTTGAAAACAGAAAATTATTCAACATTATCTTACCAATTACAGAAGAGAATTCTTTGAAGTTGATAAGGCAGTCAGAGTTTTCATCCAACAATCGGAATGTCCATAAAGCTAGTGAGTCTCTGTTTGCAGAAGAAGCCCAGGGACTCAACAAGTGATATAACACTCGGAACTGCTGGCAGTCAATCTGATACTGTTCCAAATATGGCAAACTGGGGTCATGGTGCTTCAATACCGGACAACTCAAACACCAATAATAAGAAAAAAACAGCTCTTTCTATTAAAAACAAATAAAAAAGGAAAGTCATTAAAGTAAGCATGCCTACTAAAATAAAGATAAAAATATTTAAGAGTAGTTGTGGTAAAAAATATATTACAAGAATATTATTTTTGATTTAAAGAAGAACAGTACCTTAAAGATGATATAAAGTTCATCCAATTCATGAAGGCTCAATTTCACATCTTGTGATACAACACGCAACTTTAAAAAGATTAAAAGCAATTTAGAATTTAACACTCCAGTATAGAAATTCTCTTTGAATCCATTTAGAAATCTCTCTCTGCCAGAGTAAAATACTTTCCTTCCAACTTTTAAATGGAGTAACAAAGGTAAATGCACCTAGTTTGCCCTTTAAAAAGGTTGTACATAGAAAACAGTTGAATTCTACTCTGATATGTCCAAAAGTATGAGTCAGTAACTTGGTCACTTAATAAAGCAATATAAACAAACCCATAGCTTTTACATACAGAGCAATAAACAAATTAGAAAATGTAAAGGAAAAAAGATGTCATTCATATTAGCAACAAAACCATCAAGAGCAAAGGAGTAGATAAATCCAACAAGAAACAATTAAGACCTATCTGATGAAAACAATAAATACTTACTAAGGACATTTAAAAAGGCATCATTAAAATGAATATTAAAAACTTTAAAAATATTTTATTAATTTCAGAGAGAAAGGGAGAGGAAGAGATAGAAACATAGATGATGAGAGAGAATCATTGATCAGCTGCCTTCTGCACGCTCCACACTGGGGATCAAGTCCACAACTTGGGCATGTGCCCTGACCAGGAATCGAAGCATGACCTCTTGGTTCATAGGTTGATGCTCAACCACTGAGCCACACCGGCCAGGCCCACTTTTTAATTGGATTGCTTGTTTTTCTTTTGTTGAGTTGTATAAGTACTTTATATATTTTTGAAATTACCCCTTATCAGATATGTTCTCCCATAGAGTGGTCCCCCTTTTCATTTTGATGCTGGTTTCTTTTGCTGTGCAGAAGCTTTTGAACGCATTTTTTTTTAAAAAAAATATTTTATTGATTTTTTACAGAGAGGAAGGGAGAGGGATAGCGAGCCAGAAACATCAATGAGAGAGAAACATCAATCAGCTGCCTCCTGCATGCCCCCCACTGGGGTTGTGCCCACAACCAAGGTACATGCCCTGACCGGAATCGAACCCAGGACCCTTGAGTCTGCAGGCCGACACTCTATCCACTGAGCCAAACCAGTTCTGGCTGTGCAGAAGCTTTTATCATCAAGAAATCAACAAACAAGTGCTGGGGAGGATGTGGAGAAAAAGCAACCCTAGTACACTGTTGGTGGGAATGCAGACTGGTACAACCAGTATGGAAAATAGTGTGGAGTTTCCTCAAAAAATTAAAAATGGAACTGTCATTTGACCCAGTGATACCACTTCTACAAATATAACCTAAGAAGCCTGAAACATCAATCAGAAAGAATATATGCACCCCTATGTTCATAGCTGTGTTATTTACAATACCTAAAACCTGGAAATAGCTCAAGTGCCCATCAGTAGATGAACAGATAAAAAACCTGTGGTACATTTACACAATGGAATACTATATAGCTGATATAAAAGAAAGGTCTATTACCCTTTGAGACAACATGGAGGGACCTAGAGATTATTATGCTAAGCCAAATAAGCCAGTCAGAGAAAGACAAGTATCATATGATCTCACTTAGATGTGGAATCTAATGAACAAAATAAACTTACAAACAAAATAGATCCAGAGGCATGGAAGCATGCAACAGACTGACTAATCTCAGAGGGAAGGGGGTGGGGAGGCGGGAAGAGATAAACCAAAGAACTTATATGCATATATGCATAAACCATGGACATAGACAATAGTGTGGTGAAGGCCTGGGGAGGGGGCAGGAGTGAGGAGAATGAGGTCCATGGGGGGAAAAAAGGAGGAGACATCTATAATACTTTCAACAACAAAGATAATTTTAAAAAGAGATATATGAGGCTCTTCAAAGTCAAATAAATTTTAAACTATCCTTAAAAATGAGAGTATTTAAAAATACTGTTTTAGCCCTGGCTGGTTTGGCTCAGTGGATAGAGTGTCGGCCTGCGGACTGAAGGGTCCCAGGTTCGATTTCAGCCAAGGGCACATGCCCGGATTGCAGGCTCGATCCCCAGTAGGGGGCATGCAGGAGGCAGCTGATCAATGATACTCTCTCATCACTGATGTTTCTATCTCTCTCTCCCTCTCCCTTCCTCTCTGAAATCAATAAAAATATATTTTTTAAAAAATACTGCTTTAGACATTTTTCCCTTTATCTTAGTATCCAGGATTAGAGGCATTGACTACTATGTAGGTCAGCTGTTCTTATTGACAAAGCACATCACAAATATGTTATGCTTAAATGCGTATATCATAGTACTCACTATTGAAGGTCAAATAATACAAAACATGTTAGTGAAACCAATATAATGAACTGGGTGAAAAAGGTGAAGAGATTGAAAAGTACAGATTAGTAGTTACAAAATAGTCATGGGGATGTAAAGTACAGTATAGGGACTATAGTCAACAATACTGTAATAACTATGAATGGGTACTGTAAATATTGGGGGAAACATTTTGTAAAGTATGATTGTCTAACCACTATGCTGTACACCTAAAACTAATACAAATCATATTAAATGTAAATTGTGATTAAATAAAATAAAGAAAGCAATTCCCCCAAAAGAATAACTTATTTCCTCTCAAAAATTTATAAGCTAAGCAGTAGCAAGAATCTACCTAAAAGTTTAGTTTCTCTCATTTTCTTTACATAGAATAATTTTTAAAAGGAAATTGAAGAAAAAATTGTCACTCCAACTGGTATCCCCCATTGGGTAGTGGGTACTCACCACATTCTGCTTTGTTGTTTCCTCTAGAGTCTGTATTACATACAACCTATTTCGACAGCGCATGCTGTGTATATCTTCACAACGAATATTACCATATTTCTGCAAGAAATATGATTTTGGTAAACACTCATTCATAATAAACATCCACTTCTCTTACAACTGAATTTCATCAGATTCAATTCCCAGAGGCTTTCATTCTATTTCTAGCTACTTTCTTAACTTGTTCAGTGATTATGCAAATTTTCACCTCCACATTTCATTTTCTCTACATATTCACTGGAGAGAATTCCATCTACTATGTGCCAAGAATAAGTACAAGAACATTAGTAAAATTCTTAGTCTCTAAGAAGAGAATAATTTTCTCCTTTTTATACAGTGACAGATATTTAAAAGTGGTAATTATTTGTGAAAGCAAGTGATAGTTTCATTTAATGAAAAGCAAATGGAAGGAGAGGAGGCTGCATAACCTAGGAACAGTTCACAGAATGCATTGTTAAAGTGAAGTCGTATTTTAAAATTATATCTTTACTTGTATTACCTTACTCTTAATATACCACTAGAGACATAACTATAGTATCCATTATTTTAAATATGCTATGCAATTATATATTTATGTTAGAAACTTACCTCATTTGACTCTCTAATCAAATCTGTAATATCCACTCTAATATGACTGCTTTTTTCATCACTCACATTTGAACCCTGCTGAACACTTGAAGGCAATGGGCTATCCTTATTAGTGATACTGTCAAAGAACCTATCCAAAAGTGATAGTAATACAAGAATTAGTAGAAGTAAAATACAGAGAAATGACAGCTAAATTCTCCATAGTTAGTCAGAGGTTAATGTCAACTGAGAGGACAAGGGACAGTTTTATGAAGAAGTAAAATTTGAAGATGGTTTGGAATTAGGAAGACATGGGAATGGAGAATGGGATGGCGAAGTAATTATTTCAGAGGTGGGGAGTAGAACATGATGAAAACAAACAGGCTCAGCGTAATCTGAGAGTACTCAGAAAATACCACATAGCCCAGTAAGGATGGGATATAGGGTATGTAGAGGCATGTAAGGAGAAATAAGTTAAGAATAGGTACATCAAAGCCTTAACATAGTGAGTTCTAAATGTTAGAATGGGGTATTTATATTTCATGGGTACATAATGGGATTTGGTGCACCATTACAACAGTTACCCAATGAAATATTCATTCATTTAACATATACATACCTAGTGTATATGCAAACACACACACATACACACACCCCACAGTGTTTTAACACAAAACAGCATTCAAAGAAAAGACAATAGGAAAATAAAGCTCAGTCTACCACTTAGAAAACAGAACAATTTTCCTCAGTGGATATTTAACATTATCAACTACCCATTCCCCTTCAAATTACTTTTACCCAGTGACACCTTATAGTTTAAACTGGGACTATGAAAATCCAGAATAATAAATCAACAATATTAGTGGTTTACTTCAAAGTGATTTACTTTTGTTATATTCTAAGTGGAAACAGAGGAGTGGATTTTAGGAGTAGCTTTCTCATTCAACTAGTTTTGTGACTTTGGGCAAATTGCTTCAAGTTTCTAGGCTTAGGTTCCTCACCTATAAAGGAATTAAACAACATAATCTCTAAGGGGCTCTCCAGATTTAAATGTTATGGTTCTTATAGTACCTGTTTAAAGCTGTCACAGCTTCAGCATCATCTTTACATGCCAGCAGTTTGTCTAAATTATAGTCAAGTATTGCCAATCCTAGTTGTAAAATGGCCTTTATTCCATCATAGAAGAAACAGTCCACCACATTCACTGCACTTTCAATAGGTAGTACACTAATAAAAAGTGTGAGAAACCATGAGAGAGAAACTGAAGAAAAGAATGTCATATCGGTCATGTGTTCTGTTAGCTGGGGAAGGTGATCCCTGATAAGTTCTTCAAAGACCGCCTGATCTACCAAGGCACCTGGAGAACATAAAAAGAAGTTTAAAAATGAATACCTTTCAAAAGGATTTGTTACCAATACTTCCCACGTCTATTAGTATTCTGATAAACCTCATTTTTCTTCCTTAAATTAGGAACTTCGTCAGTGCCTTTTCTATATTTTACAAATCTCTTTATTAATGGAGTGTCTTGCATCAAAAAACACTTGAGAAACTCAGTTCAAATTCATTTGAACAATTATTTATTGAATTGTTACTATGCACAAAAACCTGTAATACACAAATTAATGAAATGGTCTCAACTTCAATAAGCTTAATATCTAGTAGAACTTAAGATAAATACACAAATAACTAAAATGAAAGACCATGCAATCAATGATCTAGCCATGATTCTGAAGGTTTCTGAGAGTACAAGGGAGAGACCATCTATGGTTTTAAGGCAGGGGAATCATAGATTTATAAATATTTGATTACTGAAGAAAATATTATACAATTAAGAAACCAAGAACTTGGTCTTTCTTTCAAACCTTTCAAATATCTATATAATTCACATAAATGTGGAGATTTTAAGCTGACTAAAACCTCTTATCAAGAAACTATTAAAAATTATACAGCAGCTCTTGATGCTTTAGATCATCATTGTTTTAGAAATACAGAGAGAGTAAACTTAAAATTTCTATTTTATTAAGAAACAGACTAGGTACTTTTTTAAAGCAACGTAGTAAACAATCTTCCCAATTATTATTCAGTATAAAAAGTTCTTTACTTGAGCGTGCCTATGAATGTGACATATTCATATTGCTTGCATTTTGTATATTCTAAAACCTAATTGATCTGTTCTTCCATTTAATAATTGGATAGACAAGAGGCATATAAATTGTTTAGAAAAGAAATATGTGTTTTTTTCATGTGGTTTTTGTTTTTTACCAATGATTCGACGATTAAAATAATCAGGCAACATTCGTTCACATACAGCAACCAGAAGCCAAAATGCTTCTTCCTCTTTTGCATACAGAAGCAACACTGAAGTCAAAATGTTCATTGCCTAAAATTCATAAAGAAATGAAAAATAGTCACTTAGATGATTCATTCATTTAAATACTTCTCAAAAGAATTCTGTATTGCTAAGTTTCAATGAATAAATAGAATTGATATGTAATCCTTATGGGTATTCCACCCATTATGATTGAATCTGTGGCAGAGAGAGCTAGCTATCAACCATAATCCATACCCCCTTCTTCCATAGTGTCTGTGCTCAGCAACACAACATTCTGCAGACTTCTTTGTAAATAGGTATGACCAAGAGACAAGATCCTCCAATAGAATGTAGGTGAGACATCAAAATTACAACTAAACTACAGAACAACCATCATTCAGAACCATCTGAAATCTGGCTGAATGGAGGTCATACAATTAGGGAATTAAAAAAGAAGACACATCGAGATTGGTGGAGGGGTGGAGACACGGAACAGGCTGGCCCCACACCCATGTGTGTTGGATAAAAACTGGGAGGGATATCTCAGCTGCAGAGATGCCCCCTGAGGTACAAGGGGTTCTATCCCCACACTAGACCCTGAGCCCAAGGTTCCAGCACCAGAAGAGAAGTCCCCATATCTTCTGGCTGCAAAAATAGTAATGGAGATTGAGGCTGAGGGAGACAGGAGATGGGGGGGTAGGGGGGGCTGCTGAGTCCCAGCTAGTTCCTCTTGAGCACAGACTTAATTGGACTCACTCCCTTTGAGCTCCAGCACTGGGGCAGCAACTCAAAAAGTATCCAAGCCTGGCTGGTGTGGCTCAGTGGTTCAGTGTTGACCAATTTCTGGTTCGATTCCTGGTGAGGGCACATGCCTGGGTTGCAAGCTTGATCTCCAGTAGGGGGTGTGCAGGAGGCAGCCGATCAATGTTTCTCATCAATGTTTCTATCTTTCTCCCTTGCCCTTCCTTTCTCTCTCTAATAAATAAAAACATAATTTTTTAAAAAGGCATCCAAGACATACGAGTAAGAAGTGGATTGTTCGACATCAAGGCAAGAGCTGGGGAGGGGGCACAGCTTTCTCTCAGACAGAAGTGCTTGCAGAGGCCACTATTCCTTTGATGAGCCCCCACCCCTACAGAGTCAGCAGGCCCACACCAAGAAACATCATAATTAAAATATAAAAGTTTAAAGACAAAGAGAGAACCATATCAGAGACTCCATTAACCTGGATCACACTGTTTGCCCCACCCTGATGCCCCACCCTACCCCAACCAACTTTCCAGCCCACCCAAAGGGTTTCTAGTGGTTTTTCCATACAATTGGCCTGTCTTGGCTCATGCTTCAGATTTGCCTAAAATCTCTCAAATAAGCAAGCATCTGGCCTTGTTTTACCCCGTATCTCTTGCTAAATGGCCCCAGGACTGGCACTAGTAGCAGCTGGCCTTGGTTAGCAGCTTGGCCTCACTTGGGCACCTCTAAGCCTAGCACAGTGGCAACCATCTGCTGATGGATTTGTAGCTCATGTGGGTGGCCTCGGGCAGAACACAGGAAGCAGCTGAACTCAGCCTGTACCTCCTTGGAGGCCCCAGAGCTGGCACCCATTGAACAGCTTCAGACCATGTTGAAGAACCACACAACCACCTCCACAAGTGACACACTCAAGGAGTGAACTCAGCGGCCACTAGAGCCCAGCTGAAGTAATCCCTACTCTATGAAGTGGGCCCCTGCAGAGCTGATCCTCTAAGGTAGTCGGTAGTCAGTGGTTGCAGCAAGTCCTTACAGCTAATTGGCCTAGAGGTAAATCCTCCCCTCCCCCCCCCACACTGACGTGCCAACAACCATCATGGCTCAACTACAACATGAGGGTATATACAGCCCATGGGGAGTATGCCTTGAGTAATCAGCTTGAGTGACTGGGGTGGCTGTGCCATTGGACTCTGCAGAACCCCTACCACATCAGACCACTCTGCCAAGCCTGGGAGACACAGCACCTCTACCTAATACAAAGATACAACTACAGGGAGGCTACCAAAATGAGGAGACAAAGAAACATGTCCTAAATGAAAGAACAGAACAAAACTCCAGAAAAAGAAATAAACAAAATAGAGACAAGCAATCCACCAGATACAGAGTTCAAAACACTGGTTATAAGGATGCTCCATGAACTAAGAACTTCAGCAGCATAAAAAAGGAGCAGTCAGAAATGAAGGATACACTAACTGAAATAAAGAATAATTTACAGGGAATTAACAGTAGGGTACATGAAACTGAGAATCAAATCAGGGATTTGGAATATAAGGAAGCAAAACATGCCCAATCAAAATAACGAAAAGAAAAAAGAATTTAAAAAAATAAGTATAGTGTAAGGAACCTGTGGGACAACTTCAAGAGTACCAAATTACATACCATGGAGGTACCAGAAAGAGAAGAGAGCAAAAAATTGAAAACCTATTTGAAAAAAATAATGACGGAAAACATCCCTATATTGAAGGAAATATACATACAAGTCCAGGAAGCACAGAGTCCCAAAGATGAACCCAAAGAGGCCCAGACTAAGAAACATCATAATTAAAATACAAAAGTTTAAAGATAAAGAGACAATCTTAAAAGCAGCAAGAGAAAAGCAGTTTATTACCTACAAGGGAGCTCCCATAAAAATGTCAGCTCATATCTCAACAGAAATGTTACAGGCCAGAAGGGATTGGCATGAAATTTTCAAAGTGATGAAAAGCAAGGGCTTAAAGCCAAGATTACACTACCCAGCAATGCTATCATTTAGAATGGAAAGACAGACAAAGAGCTTCCTAGATAAGAAAAAACTAAATGGGTTCATCACCAGCAAACCAGAATTATATGAAAGATTAAAGCAGCGGTTCTCAACCTGTGGGTCGCAACCTCTTTGGGGGTCGAATGACTCTTTCACAGGGGTCGCCTAAATACATCCTGTATATCAGATATTTACATTACGATTCATAACAGTAGCAAAATTACAGTTATTAAGTAGCAACAAAAATAATTTTATGGTTGGGGGTCACCACAACATGAGGAACTGTATTAAAGGGTTGCAGCATTAGGAAGGTTGAGAACCACTGGATTAAAGGGTCTTCTTTAAGAAAAAAAAGATAAAAAAATATGAATGACCAAACAGCAATAAAGACATATCTATCAACATTGGAATAGAAAAAACAAATTATACAAACAAGCAGAACAAAAACAGACTCATAGATACAGAGAACATTTTGATGGCTTCCAGATGGGAGGGGGTTTGGAGTATGGATGGAAAAAGTGAAGGGATTAAGGAGTTCAAATTGGGAAATTTCAAGATGGTGGCTGGGAGGATGGCAGTGAGGGAGAGAGTGTGAGTGAGTGAGGGAGCAAAAGGGGAGTGTGTGGACATGGTGTGTGTGTGTGTGTGTGTGTGTGTGTGTGTGTGTGTGTCACTGAGGGGCAGCTAGATCTCACAGGACCTATGGAGGCTGGGGGACTGGGCTCACATAGCCTGGCAGTCTCTGTGATTGCTGTTATTTCTCCTGGAACACTGGCTCTGCTGCAGAGGCAGTGACATCTTGAAGGGGAGAGCTGCTGTGACTGGGAGCCCAGCCTCAAGTCCACCCAGGGGGCACTCAGACACCACCTGAGATCCTAAAGCCACTCTGGCCAGGGACCTGCTGCCTCGGCTGCCAACCCACAGACACCGAGACTCCAGTTTGCCCAGCTGAAGGCTACTGTGAGTTCCAGAGCGTACTCCCCTCGTGCCAGCCAGATGCTTTAGCCCCGGACACTGTGACCACACCAGCAGCTTCACGAGCAGCAGCTGCCCCTGCCCACGACCACGCGACCGGCCACTAAGCCCACCACTGCAGCCACAAGACTCGTGCAACTCAACACTTACATCCTTCAGTGAAAGCAAAATGGGGAGACAAAAGAACAACCCCCAAAGAAAGAAAAGGAAGGATAGAAAGAAAAGGAATAGAAAGAAAAAGAACTAAATGCAACGGAGGCATGCAATATGTCAGAAAACGAATTCAGAATACGGTCATACAGGACCCTTATTAACCTATGTAAGAATCAGGAGGAAATAAAGAGTGATATAGCTATAATAAAAAACACTATGGAAGCTTTCAACAGTAGACTAGGAGAAGTGGAGGACCAAATTAGCGAATTAGAAGACAGGGAAGCAAAACACACCCAATCTGAACTGCAACTAGAGAAAAAAAATCAAAAGACAGGAGGAGAGCCTGAGAGAGCTTGGGGACAACATGAAATGAAGCAACATACATATAATGAGTGCCAGAATGACAAGAAAAGGAGCAAGGGTTAGAAAACCTATTTGAAGAAATAATGTCAGAAAACTTCCCTGATTTGGGGAAGAAAAGTCATATAAGCACTGAGTCCCAAATAAGATGAACCCCAAAAGATCCACACCAAGACACATTGTAATTACAATGGCAAATGTTAACGACAAAGAGAGAATCTTAAAGGCTGCAAGAGAGAGACAGAAAGTTACCTACAAGTGATCTCCCAATAGATTATCAAATTATTTCTCAACAGAAACACATCAGGCCAGAAAGGAATGGAAGGAAGTATACAAAGTGATGCAAAGCAAGGGGCTGAATCCAAGAATACTCTATCCAGCGAAGCTATCATGGAAAATTGAGAGGGAAATCAGGAGCTTCACAGGCAAAGAAAGCCTAAGGGAGTGTATCATTACGAAGCCAGCAATGCAAGAAATGCTAAAGGGACTAGTGTAAAAAGAAGAAAAAAAAAGGGGGATAGAGGGGAGAAGGAACACAGACACAAAAAATAAAAATGGCTGCAAACAAGTACCTATCAATAATAACTTTAAATGTAAATGGCCTAAGTGCTCCAATTAAAAGACATCGAGTGGCTAAATGGATAGAAAAACACATGACCCATATATATGCTGTCTACAAGAGACCCACCTCATAAAAAGAGACTCACACAGACCTAGAGTGAAGGGATGGAAAAATATCTTTCAGGCAAATGGAAATTTTTTTTTAAAAAAAAGCTGGCGTAGCAATACTTATATCTGACAAAATACACCTCGA